GACACGGGAGGATGACGCCTCGGACCCTACGGCGGTGAAGCAAGAGGAGCCGCCCCCTAAAGCGACACCCATGTGGAGGCGTCGCGCAGTCAAGCCCAACATCCCTGCGGATGGCACAAGGGGGGCTAAGCCTCCCCCGTGAGCGTGTGCACCGGAGGTCGAACGGAGCGTCGGAGTCTGCGACAGACCATCGTAGAGACGTGTCAGACAGCCTTTTCCAGCCGAGGTAAGCTCCGTGCGGTCCGTGGCTCCTCCTCCTGAATGGCGGTGATATTAGCCTCTAAGAGCGGCAACGATTAATGTCCGCGGGCTTGCAGCCCGGCGCCGGCAATACCAGCTGAGCCGACTGTTTTCTGAGAACGAGCTGGATATCATCGCTGTTCAGGAGACAAAGGTCGAGAGCCAAGAGCGGACGGACCGCATGGTGCAACCTTTTCGAACTCTTTTTAACGTTTGTGTGGCGCACGCCGATGGAACTTCGGGCGGCTGTTGTTTGTTTATTCGCCGGTCACTAGGTGTGATTGAGACGGCTATGTTTGCGTGTGCGTTCGGCCGCTTTGTTATCTGCGATTTTTCATTTTCTAACGTCGAATGGCGTGTCATTTGTGTTTACGCACCGACTCGCGAGCGCGAGCGCAAAGTTTTTTTCGAAACTATTAACGAGTATATTAACTGTGCGAGGTATGTTATTTTGCTTGGCGATTTTAATTGTATGTGCGCGCCTGAGGATCGCTCGAATCAGGCCCGCGTCCGCGACCACAGCGCTATTTTATTAAACGATATTGTCGCGGAGAATTTATTAGAGGACGTAGCATCTGTTTCCTCCAAACGCAGCGTACCTTTCACCCATTTTCAAGGCCAAAGCCACGCCCGGCTCGACAGAGCATACATATCCCTGGATTTAGTTCCTTTGTGCTCCGATTACCTGGTTCAGCCTGTGTCCTTCAGTGATCACGCTCTAGTTATGTTTACTCTTGGGAGGAAAGTCAAAGTGCCTCAGTGGAACTGGTCATTATGGAAGTTGAACAGTTGCCTCCTGAAGGATGAAGTTTTTAAATCAAAGGTAGATGCTCTATTCAAGGAATTGTACGAGGATAAACAGACAGTATGGGGGGTGAGGTGGGAATTTTTTAAAGAGGGAGTTAAAATGGCTGCTATTGAGAGGAGTACTATTCTCAGTAAACAGAGGAAGCAGAAGGAGAAGGAGCTGCGGCGCCAGTTGAACATCCTCCTGATCGAAGAAAGCGCGAAGCCAGGCGAGTTTGTCGATGAAATAAGAAGTATCAAAAATCAACTGGAGGTCATTGACTGCGAAACGTACCGTGGGGCTGTTGTGCGGGCGCGATCTGAAAGGTTGTGGTTAAGTGAAAAGCCGACGAAGCGGGCGCTCAGTGATGAAAAACGGCAGGCGCAGCGAAACGAGATTAAAGAAATACGATATAATAACACGATAACTCGCGATAAAGATATAATCGAGAAAGCATTTGTTGAGCATTTCCGGGGTCTCTTTGCGTGTAGTGCTATTGCTGACGACAGCTTTAATGATAAATTTTTGCCCTTAATGCCGAAATTGCAAGATGACGTTCGCGAAAAATTAGAAGCGCAGATTACAGTTTGTGAGATTGAGACGGCCATTGATGAACTAACTTCTGGCAAAACGCCCGGCCCGGACGGCCTCGGTGCGGAATTTTATAAATTGTTTAAAAGGGAGGCAGCCGACGCCTTGTATCAGGTGATAACCGAGGCGTATTGTAAGCGTGTTTTGCCACCCTCCTTTTTGAGGACACACACTGTCCTCATCCCAAAGGTCGACGACCCCGCAAGGCTTTTGTCAGTCGACTCCTACAGGCCAATAAGTCTAACAAATGTTGACTATAAAATTTTTATGAAAATCCTCGCCAGGCGTTTACAGCATGTCATAACTAGTCTTGTGGGACCGCATCAGACATGCGGTATTAAAGGGCGCACTATTTTTACGAATATTCATGTAGCAAGAAGTATTCTGGAATGTTGCGATGATCTCGGTTGCCGTGTGGCCATGTTGCAGTTAGACCTGGAGAAGGCGTTCGACCGGGTGTCGCACAAGATTCTTTTTCGTATTTTGGAACACGCGAACGTCGGGTCCTCAATATTAGATGGTTTAAAAATGGCGTACGCGAATTGTACAACGTCTATTATTGTAAATAAGAAAGCTAGTGAAAGTGTACCTGTCCTTTCGTCTGTAAGGCAAGGCTGTCCACTGTCCCCCTTGCTATTTGCAATATACTTAGAACCTTTTTGTTTAAAACTGATTCACAATGTAAACATACGTGGCTTCAGGCTGGAGTCTTGCGAGGTAAAAGTTCTGTCCTACGCGGACGACGTTGCGGTCTTCTGCGTCGATCAGGACAGCGTGCGTGAGGCGGTCCGTGTTGCTTCTTCGTTTTGCAACAATACGGGGAGTGTTATAAACTGGGGGAAATGCGCCGGTTTCTGGCACGGAAACTGGGACTCCAAGCCGGAGGTTTTTTTAAACGTTCAGTGGGTAGCCATGCCCGCAAAGTATCTTGGTGTGCCACTCGAGCACTACCGGGACTGCACGCTACTGTGGAGTGAAGAAACGGAAAGAGTGAAGGCCAAAGTGGAGGGTTGGAAGGGTAGAGACTTGTCTATGTTTGCGCGCGCTACAGTTTGTAATTTATTTTTGATCGCTAAAATTTGGTATATGTTGCAAGTGCTGTCAATGTCGCGCCTTAACGTGCAGAGGCTGCACAGAGTATTCGCCGTTTTTATTTGGAGTTCGTGCTGGGAGCGTTCGGCTCGCACGAATTTGTTCCGGTCTGTTCGCAATGGAGGTCTGGGATTGTCGCACCTGTTTATGCGGCAAATAGTGTCTCGTTTTGTGTTTTTCCGTGACCAGCAAGACTCCTTTTTGCGAGCAGTCATGCAGGTGCGACTGCGAAATGCACTACCTGAGTACGTAGTGTCAACCAGTGACGGTTACCGCGCTAGTATTCAAGGTTTTCTCCGTGAAGTGGTACTTTCTGTTCGTTTTCTAGCGGTACGCTTTTCTATGGAGTATTTGAGTTCCGTGCCTCGAAAACGACTCTACAAAGATCTAGCAGACGTTTTGCTGCCCATCCCTCTCTACAGGTCATTGTACGGGTGGGGCCCAGGGCAGGATGTGCTTAAAAGGGTAAAGAGTATGCCGGTCAAACCATCGACGAAAACTTTTTTCTTTAAACTACACTGTGGCACGCTCCCAGTCAAACCGTGGCTCAAAGCGAAAGGTATTTTTGTGCCGTGGTCTGTAAATTGTTTTCTTTGTAAGGTTCCCGAATCTATAGAGTACGTGTTCATCGACTGCTGGGACGCTGTGTTCCTGTGGGATGTTCTTCAGCGCACGTTGAAGAAAGACATGCCTCTAACTGCGTATGGGATTCGTTTCTTGCCGCTAGAGAACGAAGGTGGCATCCCGTACGACATGTTTATGCTCCTCGGCCTCCACAGCCTGTGGAGGACTAGGACGGGTGTGCATAACGCTGATGTAAATGTGCGCCCTGCGAGAGATTATTTCATTGAAAACGTTTCCTATATTCGCGAGGTATTCCGCGCGCTGCCTGAACCGCCTGAATGGTTGCGAATACTTGATGATTTGGTCTCGTTGAAGCGCTTTTAAATGTACTCGCGGCAGCTGCGCTTGGCTGGCGCGTTTTAACTTTGTGTGCATATGTATGTGGTTGCGTCCCTTGTGTTGGCTTATGTCAAAGCAGGCAATAAAGAAAAAAAAAAAAAAAAAACTCCTCGTTAGTATAGTGGTCAGTATCCCCGCCTGTCACGCGGGAGACCGGGGTTCGATTCCCCGACGGGGAGCATAATTTTTTTTTTTTTTTACCCCCACATTTTTTTTTTCCTTTATTGAAAAGTCCAGGTTGCGGTAGAGTTCCCGTCCCGCTATTCCCGTCTCTCCTCGTTAGTATAGTGGTCAGTATCCCCGCCTGTCACGCGGGAGACCGGGGTTCGATTCCCCGACGGGGAGCATAATTTTTTTTTTTTTTTACCCCCACATTTTTTTTTTCCTTTATTGAAAAGTCCAGGTTGCGGTAGAGTTCCCGTCCCGCTATTCCCGTCTCTCCTCGTTAGTATAGTGGTCAGTATCCCCGCCTGTCACGCGGGAGACCGGGGTTCGATTCCCCGACGGGGAGCATAATTTTTTTTTTTTTTTACCCCCACATTTTTTTTTTCCTTTATTGAAAAGTCCTGGTTGCGGTAGAGTTCCCGTCCCGCTCTTCCCGTCTCTCCTCGTTAGTATAGTGGTCAGTATCCCCGCCTGTCACGCGGGAGACCGGGGTTCGATTCCCCGACGGGGAGCATAATTTTTTTTTTTTTTACCCCCACATTTTTTTTTTCCTTTATTGAAAAGTCCAGGTTGCGGTAGAGTTCCCGTCCCGCTCTTCCCGTCTCTCCTCGTTAGTATAGTGGTCAGTATCCCCGCCTGTCACGCGGGAGACCGGGGTTCGATTCCCCGACGGGGAGCATAATTTTTTTTTTTTTTTACCCCCACATTTTTTTTTTCCTTTATTGAAAAGTCCTGGTTGCGGTAGAGTTCCCGTCCCGCTCTTCCCGTCTCTCCTCGTTAGTATAGTGGTCAGTATCCCCGCCTGTCACGCGGGAGACCGGGGTTCGATTCCCCGACGGGGAGCATAATTTTTTTTTTTTTTACCCCCACATTTTTTTTTTCCTTTATTGAAAAGTCCAGGTTGCGGTAGAGTTCCCGTCCCGCTATTCCCGTCTCTCCTCGTTAGTATAGTGGTCAGTATCCCCGCCTGTCACGCGGGAGACCGGGGTTCGATTCCCCGACGGGGAGCATAATTTTTTTTTTTTTTACCCCCACATTTTTTTTTTTCCTTTATTGAAAAGTCCAGGTTGCGGTAGAGTTCCCGTCCCGCTATTCCCGTCTCTCCTCGTTAGTATAGTGGGGATTCCACTTCCGGCCGCCGCAGCGTACGGACGTGTCAATCATGAGCTCCCCCGGAGCGGTTTCAGCGGCCGCTGGCCGCGGTAACAGGAACTCGGACGCTGTTGCCCAGGAATACCAAGTCATTCTGCCGCCACTTCCAACAGGTACTACAGTTTTGAATACAGTTTTTTTGCATGCCGACGTGAGTGCAAGGCCCTACCGTCTGGAGCATTTTCGCGAGGCCCTTGTCAGCGCGACACTGTTCGCCGAGGTGGTCGCCATGGGGGCGTACCAATACAATCACGTGTGGGCGGTTACCCTCAAGAGTGCCGAAGGAAAAAAGAAGCTGCTCGCCGCCGGCGAGCTGTTCGTCAAGGGGCGCCGGTGTATCGTGGTCGACCCGAGCAACCAGGACACACGCCTGAAGTTACACTGGCTGGTGCACCACGTTCCCGACGATGAAGTGCGAGTGGCCCTGGCACCCTATGGCAAGGTTACGGAAGTCGTCAGAGACCAGTGGCGGGCCGCGGGCGTGTGCTCAACAACGCGCTCGGTGTCACTCAGGCTCAAGGCTGGAGTCACGGTGGACGCCCTCCCACATCAACTGCGTGTCGCCGGCGACCTGGTCCTGGTGGTCGTCCCAGGCAGGGCACCGCTCTGCCTTCGGTGCCGGGGGAAGGGGCACATACGGCGGGAGTGTCGTGTACCGCGTTGTGTGCTCTGTCGACGCTTCGGTCATGACGAGAGCCAGTGCGTTAGGACCTACGCGTCCGTCACGGGGCCCTTAGGAAACGAAGACGAGGCTGAACATCTTATGGACGTGGCCGAGTCCGAAGCAGCTGCCTGCGACGAAGCTGGTGGACCACTTCCAGGGGCAACGCCCCCTGACCGCACCGCTGGGGATAAGAAAGATTTTGAGGGTGAAGGAGAGCAGCGCCTGCAACCTGCAGAGCCAGTAATAGGCGACACCCCTTCGGCGGAGGGCACCAAGACCGCAAGTTCGGTCCCTGCGACGACGTCCTGCAAAAAGCCGGAAGCCATGAGTGTCGAGGTGGCAGGCACCAGCGGCGCTGTCGCCAAGCGAGCTCGTGAAGAAGGCGTCGACGAGAGACCCAACTCCGGTGAGGCCCTCCCCGATGAGCCGCCCCCCAAAACGGCTCCAGTACGCCGGGCAACCGTCAAGCCGAAGCCCAACATTCCGCCGGAAAGACGTGCGTCGGTGATATCGCCCCCATAGCAGCGAGGGCCCGCGCTTGGCTAGGCACCGCTTATCGGACTGGAGACCGACGTGACTCTGACAGGACGGCGGCTTCGCGTCTTCACGGCGAGGCATGTAATGAGGTGTTCGGCGATCCCATGGGTGGGTGCACCGAGCGACGCAGCAAGACTGTGAGTCTGTCGCCGTTCTCAGCGACCCGAGGTAAGCACCATGCGACCCGTCTGCTCTAACTCTTAAATGGCAGTGAACCTTACGATACCTCTCCGCGTCGCGACGTTGAACGTGCGGGGCCTGGGAGCAAGGCGACGACAGTACCAGCTCAGCCGCCTTTTTCTAGAACACGATCTAGACATAGTCGCCGTCCAAGAAACGAAGGTTGAAAGTGTGGAGCAAACGGACCGCATGGTGCAGCCTTTCAGAGCTCGATACAATGTCTGCGTGTGTCACTCTGTTGGAACGTCAGGTGGTTGTGCTCTGTTTCTGCGCAATTCGTTGGGTATTGTTGAAGAGACAGTAACAGTATGCGAAACAGGCCGTTTAGTTGTTTGTGACTTCTCCTTTTCTGGCTCACAGTGGCGGGCAATATGTGTTTACGCGCCAAATCGTGAATATGAACGAAAAGTGTTCTTTGAACGTGTTGAATATTACATAAAATGCGAAAGACTTGTCATTTTGTTGGGTGACTTTAACTGTGTGTGCGCAGCAGAAGACAGAGTGCGCAGGCAGCCTGTTCGGGATCAGAGTGCTCTATTTTTGAACCTGGTAGTGCAAGAGAATAATTTAGAGGATATTGGCTGTGTGTTGTCCCATAGTAATTCTCCCCAGTTTACGCACTTTCAACGTGACAGCCACGCTCGCTTGGATAGGGCGTACGTCTCTGCGTGTCTTGTTCCACTGTGTGAAAACTATGAAGTTAAGAACGTATCTTTTAGTGACCATAGTTTAGTCCTCTTTACAATTGGGCGAAAAGAAGTAAAATCACGGTTTAACTGGGATCTTTGGAAATTTAATGATAAGCTTCTGAATGATAAAACTTTTACGAATGATATCAAAGAACGCATTGGACAAATGCTGGCGTCTGGGACGCGAAACTTTGCTGAACTTTGGGAGCAGTTCAAGAATGACGTTAAAATAAGAGCGATCGAAAGATCATGTATTTTACGCCGGCAAGAAAAAGAGAAAGAAAAAGAGTTGCAGTGTCAGCTAGATTTCGTATTAAGCATGGAGAGCGCGCAACCCGGAAAGTTTACAAAAGAAATTAAACAAGTTAAAAGCAAACTGGAACTTATTGATGTAGAAAGATACAAAGGAGCTGCGATAAGAGCCCGCGCCGAGCGTCTGTGGTTGGGTGAAACACCGACCAAGCGCTCGCTTAGCGATGAAAAGAGATACGCATCACAAAATAACATAATAGAAATACAGTACGGCGCCTCCATGACTCGCGAAAAAGAACTAATTGAGAGCGCATTCGTGGAACATTATCAAGATCTTCTGGGGCATAGTAAGCGTGTAGAAGAAGGATTTGATCGCGAGTTTCTACCACTCATGCCCAAGTTAGATGCCGAAGTTAAAGCGAGTCTCGAGGTACCAATTAGTCTGCAAGAAATTGAACGGGCAATCGATGAACTAACTCCTGGAAAGTCGCCGGGGCCCGACGGCTTAGGCGCTGCTTTTTACAAAGCATTCAAAAGCGATGTAGCTGTGGCTTTACACCGCGTGGTAATGGAAGCGTATGACAAAAAAGAGCTGCCACCGTCTTTCCGTAAAACTCATATCGTTTTAATACCTAAGTTTGACGATCCAGCGAAGCTTTTATCGGTGAAGTCCTACCGCCCCATAAGTCTGACCAACGTAGATTATAAAGTGTTCATGAAGGTTTTAGCAAGAAGGTTACAAGGCGTCATATCATCAATTGTTGGGCCTCATCAAACATGTGGAATTAAGGGACGAACGATTTTCACCAATATCCATGTCGCGAGAAGTATTTTAGAGTGTTGCGATGCATTTCAAGGGCGAGTAGCCATGCTGCAACTCGACTTGGAAAAGGCTTTCGATCGCGTTGTGCATGATGTTCTTTTCCGCATTTTAGAGCACGTCAATGTTGGCTCGGTAATTCTAGAGGGGGTTAAGATGTCGTACACGGACTGTTTTTCGAGCATTATTATTAATAGGGAAGTTAGTAAAAGTTTTCAAGTTCAGTCGTCGGTTAGACAGGGGTGCCCGTTATCACCCCTGTTGTTTGCTGTTTACCTCGAACCGTTTTGTTTAAAGCTTTTGTATAATGAACGGATAAGGGGCTTTCGGTTGATGTCGAGTGAAGTTAAGGTTCTTGCCTACGCGGATGATATAGCTGTTTTCTGTGAGGATACAGAAAGTGTTAGAGAAGTCGTAAGGGTGGCTAATTTATTTTGTAAGTTGTCAGGTAGTGTCGTCAATTGGGGCAAGTGCGTGGGATTTTGGCACGGCAGCTGGGAAAGTGCACCTCGTGTTTTCGAAAATATTCAATGGACCCGTTCACCGGCAAAGTACCTCGGGGTGCCACTCGAGCATTACCGTGACACCACGGAGTATTGGAAAGAGGAAATCGAAGAGGTCCGAGCGAAAACACTCAAGTGGGGGGGTCGTGATTTGTCAATGTTTTCTCGCTCGACAGTTTGTAACCTTTTTATTGTGGCTAAAGTCTGGTATGTGCTTCAAGCCCTCTGGATGACGAGGGCCAGCGTTCAGAAATTGCATAGAGTCTTTGCAGTTTTCGTTTGGGGATCTGGGTGGGAACGCACTAGTCGTACCAACCTGTTTCGCTCTGTGCAAAGTGGGGGGTTGGGATTAGCCCATTTGTTTCTTCGGCAGGTTGTGGCCCGTTTTATTTTCTTGCGTGATCAGAGGGATTTATTTTTGAGGACTGTATTGCAAGTTCGCCTCTGTCATGCGTTACCCGATTTTGTTGTCTCGTCTAGTAAGGTTGATTGTCCTGGGGTGCGTGGTTTTCTGCATGAAGTTGTCCGAGCCTTCCAGTTCCTGAAGGTGCGTTTTTCATTGGAGTACCTGAGTGTTGTATCGCGAAAGCGTTTGTACAGAGACTTGGTAGATGTGGTGTTGCCTGAGCCTCTTTACCGATCTTCTTATTGCGCTGGCCCTGGCAAAGATGTTCTCAAAAGAGTGAAAAAAATGCCTGTTAGGCCATCTGTAAAAACGTTCTTTTTTCAACTGCATAGTGGCACACTCCCTGTTAAACCCTGGCTGGAGGAAAAAGGAATATTTGTTCCCTGGTCAGTTAACTGTTTGTTATGTCGAAAACCAGAAACTATAAACCACATCTTCTTGGACTGCTGGGATGCAGTATTCCATTGGGACATTTTACAACGAACTCTGAAAAAGGATCTGCCAATAACAGAGTATGGCATTCGTTTCCTCCCCACTAGCAGTGAAGGGGGCGTGCCCTATGACATGTTCATGGTATTGAGCCTGCACAGTATGTGGCGAACAAGAATGGCCGTGCGACACGCGGACGCAGATGCGCGTCCCGTGAGGGACTATTTTATTGAAAGTGTTGCGTACATCAGGGAAGTGTACAAAGCCCAAGAGGAGCAGCCTGAATGGCTGCCTGTGATGGATACTCTGGTCGCCCTGAAGGCATTTTAAACCATTTGCGCCGGCCTAAGAAGGACGGGCGTTTTTTAACATTCGTGTTCTGTGTGTTGCATGTATTTGTTTGGTATGCTAAGCAGGCAATAAAAAAAAAAAAAAAAAAAAAAAAAAAAAAAAAAAAAAAAAATCCTCGTTAGTATAGTGGTCAGTATCCCCGCCTGTCACGCGGGAGACCGGGGTTCGATTCCCCGACGGGGAGCATAATTTTTTTTTTTTTTTACCCCCACATTTTTTTTTTCCTTTATTGAAAAGTCCAGGTTGCGGTAGAGTTCCCGTCCCGCTATTCCCGTCTCTCCTCGTTAGTATAGATTCTGCTTCTGGCACTCGCCGAGAACGGTTGCAGGATGGCTGGCTCCAGCGGAGCTGCGACAACGGCCCTTGATGGCCGTGGAACTACTGTTTTTCATGCCTCAACGTCAACCGCTGAAGAATACAAGGTTGTTTTGCCTTCGATGCCCACCGGGCCAACTTTTTTGAACTCCGTGATTCTTCACTGCGACCTGAAGGGACGGCCCTACCGCATCGAGGATTTTCGCCAGGAGCTGAAACGGACCGGCGCCTTGCCAGACATCGTCTCGCTCGGCGCCTTCCAGATGAACCATGTGTGGTTAGCAACGCTTCGCACGCCGGAAGCCAAGGAACGCCTCCTCAACGTCAAGGAAATCAAGGTGAAGGGCCTCCGCTGCCTCGTCATTGACCCCTGTACCACCGAGATTCGCCTTCGCATCCACTGGGTGCCGTTCCACGTACCCGACGATGCGGTTCGAAAACTTTTCGAGCCGTACGGCAAGGTCAAGGAAGTTGGACGTGAGAAGTGGCGCGTCAGCGGTTTTGAGGGCATCGAATCTACCACTCGGTTCGTTCGCATGACCCTGAAGAGCGATGCCACACCCGACGGGATGCCCCACCAGCTCCGTCTTCAAGGTGCGAACACCCTCATCGTCATCCCCGGAAGAGCGCCGGTCTGCCTGCGATGCAAGCGCCCCGGGCACATCAGGCGCGACTGCCGCGTGCCGAAGTGCACGGAGTGCTTCCGCTTCGGCCACGAGAAGGAGGACTGCGTGCGGACGTACGCCGGCGTCACCGGCGCAGCTGAGACGGACGAGCCATCCCCGTTCATCATGGAGGCGGAGGACGCCGAACTGGCGGCGTGTGGCCTCAACAGCGACGCCCCCCAGACCTCCGAACAACATCAGGAGCAACGCGCCGGGGCCGACGGTAACGACGGCAACGAGCCGGCAACTAGCACCCCGACGGAGGAAGGTGCTGCGCCTTCTCCTGCGGCGACGTCGCCCGAGGCCGTCGTGGCTGCGCCTCCCGCTGTCCTCCCACCCAGCAAGGATGCCGAAGACACCGACGACATGGACGAGACTGCGGACTCCTCCAAGCGTGGTCGCGACGGGGAGGGCGCCGCCATGACACCGGTCCCGAACCAGGGGTGGAAAACGAGCAAGCGCGGCAGGTACAAGCGTCTACCTGGCAGCCCCGCGGACGGCGGGCCACGCCGCGACAGCCAGTAAGGCGGCAACGCCTGGTTCATGAACTTTCGTGCGGGTTT